GTACAGACAGAGGGGCCTTGGCATCAGGGTGGGGCACATCACAAATCCAGGCCATAGAGCAAGAGAAAAAGTGACTTGTTAGATTCCGGGATTTTGCAGATCCTGGCCAGGTGTGGTGGCACATGCCTATAATCCCAGCACTTTGGAGGCTGAGGCAGGAGGATTCCTGAGTTCAAGGCCAACCTAGGCCACATAGTAAGTTCAGAACAAGCCTGAACTGCCTTCCAAGACCCTGAATTAAAAAAAAAAAAAAGTCAAAACTGCAGATCCTAAAAGAGGCCACCCATTTGCAACTACAGTAGATGGGGCTGGGGAGATAGCTCAGCAGCCTAAGTACCTGCCTAGGCAAGTGTAGGACCCAGGTTCAATCCCCAGTACCACAAGCCGTGCCAACCCTGGAACCCCTGGGCATGCCGTGCAGGCTACCTAAACCAGGCTTGGTGGTATGTGCCTATAATCCCAGAGCTGGGGAGGCTGAGACAGGAGGATCACTATAAGTCCAAGCTGTGTAATGAGACCCTGTACCAAATAAATAAATAAATACTACAGTGGAGACTTGCAGAAAAATGGTAGAATAGCAACAAACAACTGAGTCAGAGATCTAGAATCTAGATACTAGAAAGTAATAACTTGGGGAAGAAAAAAGAGAAGTAGATCTTCAGGAAACAGAAAGCAGGTGATGGGAAAATTAAAACTTACAGAGAAATTAAGGAGAGAGAACACAACATGGAAAAGGGAAAGGACAATCTATACTTTTTCCCTGGCTCCTGGGTTGTGGCTTATAAAAAAAAAGTAGACGAAATCTACAGAGATAAAATGAAAACTGGAGAGGGGAGGCTGAGAGCTACAGGCGGAGCACAGGATTGTGCTCCAGTGATTCCTTTGACAGCCAATAGCTGGCAAGTGACTCCAGTCCAAGCACCCACCACGTCCCTGGAAAGAGTGCTCTGTCTGATATCTTTTTTTATTTTTTTGTCTTTTTGAGACAGCGTCTTGATGTGCACTTCAGGCTGGACTTGAGCTCACTTTGTAGCTTCAAGCTTGCAGTGATTCCCTGCCTCAGCCTCCCCACTGCTGGGATTACAGGCATGTGCCACCGTGTGTGTGTGTGTGTGTGTGTGTGTGTGTGTGTGTTTAATGTCATTTGTGGGAAGCATTGAGTGTTTGAACACCGCACTCAGAACAGTTATTCACTTCAGGGCTCCTAGTGTAATGTGCCCACAGTGACTGGGTGACAGATAGCTACAGGAGACAGCTGCAGTGGGTTTGAAGAACACAGGGGTTTGAAGAACACAGGCCCTGTCCCCATGGCCAATCCAGGCTCAACTGAATTGTTCTGATATGTGAAAGTCCTGGGACTGTGCCCCTTCCCTAACCCTACAGCATGATGGCGCTTGGATCTGGTGCAGATCTGGGGTCCGATTGCCTACTTTATCAGCAGGAGCAAGGACAGGTCTCACGTTGGGCACTGCCTCACAAGTGTAGATCCTGGATGAAAACCACACATTCAAAATCACAGGGAAGGGCCAGGGATGTGGCTCAGTGGCACAGTGTCTGCCGAGGCAAGCAAGAGGTTGTGAAGTTGATTACTGGTACAAAAAAAAAAAAAAAAAATCACAGGGAATTTTTAAATAAGTATGTGCATTTTCTTTTTCTCTTTCTCTTCCTTTTTCATTCTTCAGCCAGCTATGGGGCTTGGGGAATTTTCCTTTGTCCTTCATTGCTTATCTCTTACTTCTTTTTCCTTTTTCCCCCCTTTAACTTTTTTTTTTAAGAATACAAAATAGTGGTAGAAAGAAAAACATTAGAATTGATACAAGATTTCACTGAACAAAGTAATAGGAAGTCAACAATGGTTGCTGAATTATATAATGCTATCTTCAACTTAGTTGTTCAGATTACCAGATATAAACATGTAAGATTAATTTAAAGAAAAAAACCAAAACAATATGCTAACAAAAAAGTTATAAGAAATTCAAAAGAGGAAAAAAATCAGAATAAAACAAAAAAAATTTAAAAAGTAAAAAATTTAAGGGCTGGCAAAGTAGCCCAGTGGACTAAGCACCTGCTTTGGCAAGTGTAGGGACCAGGGTTCAATCTTCTGTCCTGCATGCCGCGCTGGCCCCACCTGCTGGGCACCCTGAACCTGCGACAGAGTTCGGATGTGGTGGTACATGCCTATAAACCCAGCGGTGGGGAGGCTAAAAACAGGAGGATCACCACGATTCAGATCTGCGTGGTGAGACCCTGTACCAAATACACAAATGAAGGAAAAAAACAAACAAACAAACAAACAAACAAAACCCCCAACAATTTAAGCATTAAGTGCTCCTTTCAAAAGGCCGCAGAAATCGACAATATAATTGTCCAAACCATTCTGCATATACACCTAAATATGTTGTTTTGTCTTCTTTCGCTTGTCCTTTTCCTCTTCCCAGTTTTTCCTTCCTATTGAACAGCTTCTTGCCCTGTCACAGTATCTGCTGTCCCTTTTAGATTTTCATTACTCTTTCAGGTTCCCACCCTAGCAAGATAATATGATGTTTGCACATGTGGATCTGATTGATTTATTTCACTTTTTCTTCTCATTTTTTTACTCCCCATATAATTTCTGTTTTTCTCGTTTTTCTTTTATCTTCTAGTTCTCATCTGTTTTGCTGTGCAATTCAGGCTGGGCTTGAATTCACTGTACATCCCAGGTTGGCCTGGAACTCCCAGTGATCCTTGTGCCTCAGCCTCCTGTGTTACACCCCAAACTTTCATCAGTTTTTTTTCTCTTACCTTTACCTAATTCTGTCAACATCCTGTTATCACTCAGTAGGATCCTTTGTGCCACTTCTTTCTCCTCACTTTCATATCACATAGTTTAAGGTTTTAATTTTTCCGTTTGTATTCCCTCATCCTCAACCCCTGTATCTTTAATAATATAACCAGAGGGCCATGAAAAATGTTCAAGTAACAGTTTTAAAAACCAGTTACCAAAAACTTGATTAGAAGTATAAGGTATTGAAAAAAAATCTGGGTAGTGAGACCCTGTAGACCCTATACTAAATACACTAAAAAAATCTCTCTCAATCTCTCTCTCTCTCTCTCTCTCTCTCTCTCTCTCTCTCTCTCTCACACACACACACACACACACACACACACACACACACACACACACACAGATGTATAAGGTATTGGGGCCAGGGATATAGCTCAGTGGCATAAGTGCCTGCCTGGCAAGCACAAGGTGCCAAGTTCAATCCCCTATACCACAAAAAATAAAGTGTTGTAAGTTGTCCTGAGCATTAACATCCCGTAATAAAACTATAAAATGAAACTGCTTAAAAAAGATTCCACAATGGGATCAGATGTTTTTCTTCGTCAACTCCATTACTATCTTCCATAAGCCCTTAGGTACAGAAGGGCTCCCAACCTACAACCTAAAGAAGGGAGGGAAAGGGAATGGGGGAAAATTATATCATATATCATGTGCAGATACAAATTCTCCATGATGAATGTGATCATTATGTATATCTCAAATGTACCAATAAAATCTAATTTAAAAAATAGACAAAAACCTACATCTGGGCAGAGAGGACATGGTGGCACACATCTGGAATCCTAGCACTCTAGAGGTTGAAGCAGGATGATCAATGTGAGTTTGAGACCAGCCTGGGCTACAAAGTGAGTACAAGGCCAGCCTGAACTGCATAGTGAAACTCTGCCTCCAAAAGGCAAAACAAACAAACAAACACACAAACACAAAACCTACAGCTAAGCTCAGTCAGAATGGTCTGGGATGGATCAACCGTGCCAGGCCTGCTTTCTAGTGTCAGGAGCGGCATTGAGGACCAGTCCCCTCTCTTGTCAGCCAGCGAGAATCGCAGATGGTACCAAGCTAAAGGGAAAGGGGTGGAACGGGCATCTTGTGTGAGCTCAGGGTTACTTAGAACTAGATAAGAAAAGGACCTAGACCACAAATACATATTTGGGCAGAAATTCAGAGAAGTACAGTATCATAGCAACCAGAGGAGGAGAAAAAGCCTCGACGAGGATGAGAACAAGGTTATAAGGTTAACACTTTGGGAAAGATTTTGTTGTTTCAGGAAATGATAACATGAATGTCAGAGAGGAATTATAGTTGACTTCTATGTATCATACAATTAAAGAACTATTATTAATTAATTAATTAATTAGGTACATGGTCTCACTACACAGCTCAGACTCCTAGTGATTCTCTTGTCTCAGCCTCCCCAGCGCTGGGATTACAGGCGTATGCCACCATACTCAGTTTGGGTGTTACCAGGGTTTGAAACTAGATCCTTGTGCTTGCCAGGTAGGCACTAAGACTGCTGAGCTATCTCCTCAGCCTAATTAAAGGATTATTAAATGATCCCTCAGCCTCCACTTTCTGGGATAATTTTTCACTGTATCTTATTAAAATCAGATTATTAGTTTGAATAACAAACCTCAGGAGAAAAAAAGGATTCTAAATTTTAGCTTTTTAATTAAGTAAGACAATTTTCCATCCTTGTTTCTTTAAAGTCATTTATAAGGTTTTTTGGTTTGCGTTGTTGTTTTCTTTTTTTTTTTTTTTTTTTTTTTTGGTAGAACTAGAGATTGAGCTCAGACCCTTGTGCTTGCCAGGGAAGCGCTTATTCTACTGAGCCATTTGCCCAGCCCCAGTTCTTGTTTTCTTTTGAGGCAAGGTCTCCCTAGGTAGCCTAGTGTGGCCTCAAACTCGAACTTGAAGTGATCCTCCTGCCTCAGCCTCTAGAGTACTATGATTATAGGGTATGTGCCACCATGCCCAATGAAAAAGAGGATGCCCAGGTAGCTGTCTGACTTACAAATGCACCTCCATAACAAAAAGCCATTCTCAAAAAAGAAGGCTTTATGTCCACTATGGTGGTGTGAAGTGGTGGTTCAGACCCCTTCTGGGGTGGAGACCGGAGTTGCACTGGCCCTTTAATGCTCCGGACATTCCACTCTCTCTCCTCAGGCAGAACCCAGGGCCCAGCTCTGGCAGTTGAGAGCAACAGCAGGCAGGACCACAGGTAGGGAGGTGAAGATGGCAGGGCACCTGAAGACAGAGAGATCTTAGATGGACCAGGGCAGTGGGGGAGGAGATTTATAAAAGATTAAGTTGGAATGGCAGAATATTTTTATTTAAACTTTAGAAAACCAGCAAACTTGTTGATAAGAGGGGAAAAAATAAAAAATTTCTAGAGTTTATTGTTATTGCCCATACAATACTATTAACTTTTATTTTTATTTTTTATTTTTTATTTTTGGTGGAACCGGGGATTGAACTCAGGCCCTTGCACTTGCCAGAGAAACGCTTATTCCATTGAGTTATCTCCCCAGCCCCATTATTAACTTTTAGTGTCCCAAAGTTTAAATATGCTAATCAGGCTTAGCATCCTCCAAGTGTTTTAATTATACAGACCAGTTAAATGTATAAAAGAAAGTGGAAGAATTTCCAGAACATATTTTTTTGAAAACTTAACAATCCGTAATCAGCAACATATTACAATGGGAGAGCTTTTCTTAGGATATGAAAGTAATTTGATTGTTAACCTGAAAACAATCTCTATCGTTTGTATTGCTGTAGCTTTCCTTTCAAAAACATTATTTATCGATAATACTGGGAAGGGATTTTTTGCTATGTAGTAACACTTGACAAACTGTTATCTTTTTTTGTCAGGATGAGTAAAAATAAGAATTTATCATTCAAGAACTACCCTGTTAATGTAATTCCTGTGATTGCTAAAAGCCAGATCCCCTAACGACTAAAGAAGACCCAGCATGCCCTTCGCGGCTCACCATCGGAGGAACAGCAAGAGGCCTCTCCCCCTGGACACTCTGCTCACATCCCAGGTGCCCCGTGGCAATTACTTGCACATTCTGGAAGACAAGCAAAGACTGCAGCTAAAGAAATTCCTGCTTCATAGGATGTTTCTAGTGGCCAGCATACAAGCAAACGTGGAGAAAAAAGAAATCGCCGAGTACTACGACCAAGTGTTCCAGTCGATCTTGAAGCATCACCTGGGAGAAGTGGTGACGGGGCTGCTGCTCATCTATCCCACCTCCTTGCTGCACATCCTCGAATCCTCCAACGGCACCCTGCACCAAATCCTTCTAGATTATTTTAACGGTGAAAAGAACAAAACGGAATTTTGGGTTCAAAAAATGAAAATCATAGTCATTTCTCACAATATCCCAACAAGGCTCTTCATACAATGGTATGTCTCGGTAGTCAAAGTGCCAGTTCTGTATCTCGACGATGTCACAAAGTCCCAGTCCTTGGAGGAGGTCATCACCGATTTTTTCATCCAGACTCACAAACTGGCGCTGTACATTTTTAAGACTGTTAAGGTGGGCTCTAGAGGACCAGGTGACAACTTGCACCAAACTGCACCTGACCTGCTCCCTGCAGAGCAAATCATAAAGTATCTCTGCAAATCAGAAGAATTGATGGACCCAGCAACATTTGTAAAACTGTATAGCAAACCCTTACATGTCATCTCAGATGCTGAGGTAGTGTGGCCTGCTCCCTCCAGCTTCTAGGATTGAAAACAATAATATGGCCAGATGTCTTTATTTGTAATACCTAAATAAAACTAACATTATTCTTCCTTTAAAAAAGGATATTACTGGGCTGGAGAGATGGCTCAGTGGTCTAAAGCACCTACTTGGAACAAGCTTGGCAAAGCACAGGGACCGCGGTTCAATCCCCCAGCACCACATGCCAGCCAGCCCGCCCCCTGGTGGGCTGAGCTGGGCACACACACACACACACAAACACACACACACACTGAATAAATAAATAAAAATTAAAAAAAAACAACCCCCCCCAAAAAAAGGATATTACCATATACACAAAGGTAATATGTTCGTCTTTATGGAATGATATCTATTTATTTTAATGTTGAGCTCTATAAAATTATTTTAAGTGAGCTGGGTCTAATAAAATCATACTAAGTTTCACTATTTTTTTCATAGAACAACTCAAAATTTTTATTAATTAAATTTACTGGTACATTAATATACATAAGAGGCCAGTGAGATATCTCAGTCGAACAAGCACCTGCTTAGGCAAGCACAGGGACCATGGTTCAATCCCCTGGTATCCCATGCCAAGCCAGCCCTACCTCCTGGATGCACTAAGCCGGTGAGTCCAGGCGTAGTGGCATATGCCTGTAATCCCAGACCTCAGGAGACTGAAAACAGGAGCATCACTATGAGTCTGAGCTGCACAGTGAGATCCTGTACCAAATACATACATATAACATATACATAATGATAATATTCATCATAGGAACTTTGTACCTGAACGTGATATATCTTAATTCCTCGGGTTTTTTTTTTTTTCCATTCCCATCCCCTCCCTTCAGCTCCCCCAATCCTTTTTTTTTTTTTTTTTTTTCCGTCTTTTCGAGACAGAGTCTCACTATGCAGTTCAGGCTGGCCTTGGGCTCACTTTGTTTCCCAGGCTGGTCTCAAACTTGCAATGATCTTCTTGTCTCAACTTCAGAGTGCTGAGATTATAGGGGTGTGCCTCCACGCCTGGTCTTTCCCCTTCTTATTTACAAAACCTTTGTTTCCATGTTTTGCTTCTTTTCTCATCACTTTTTCCTTCTTTCCTTCCCCTTCCCCAGTTCTCCTTCCCAGATGAGCATTTTCTTCCTGTTTTATAATATCTAGTATACATTCTGGTCGTTGTTTACATTTTCGGTTTCTCATACCAGAGAAATAATATGATATGCACATATGTGTTTGATTTTTTTCACTTTAGAGTACAGTCTCAAGGTGCATTCATTTACCTAGAAATGTTTCAGGTTTATTCTTTTTATGGCTGAGTAGTAGCCCATTATATTATTTATTTATTTATTTGCTATTATTTTTTTTTCTTGTATTTTAGGGAAGGGTCTATAAGGTGTTCAGGGTCTTACTACTAGGTCAAACTCATAGTGATTCTCCTGCTTACAGCGTCCCAAGAGCTGGGATTACAGGCATATGCCACCATGCCCAGTCTCAATTGCCGTCTCACAACGCCCCACGGGTGGGGCCGGCATGGCAGCCCTGGGGATTGAACCCCTGGCCCTGTGCCTGCTTGCAGGTGCTTTAACTTGCTGAGCTATTTGGCCTGTCCTCCATTATATTTTTTAAAAACATCTTTATCCATTCATCAGTTGATGGAAATTTGTGCTGTTTCCAAGAGTTAGCTATTATAAACTGTGCTGCTGTAAACATGGGTATGCATATATAATGATATGATATTTTTAATTCTTTTGGGAAAATACAAAGAATAAGAATAGCTGGGTCAAATGGGGCCTCTAGTCCTAGTTTTCTGAGGAATCTCCACACTGATTTCCACAGTGGTTGCACCAGTCTACACTCCCTCCAATAGTGGAGAAGAGTTCCTTTTTCCACATAGTCCCATCAGCATTGGTTATTGGTTAATATCTTATTAATAATGTCTTTCTTTCTAGCATGAGATGGAATCTCAGCATGGAAGCTCAGTAGTCTAATCCCCAGTACCACATGCTGCACCAGCCCCATCCCTAGGATGAGCTCAGCTGGCCACAAAAAATAATAAATAAATAACAAAAATTTTTTGCATCTTTTAAATGACCAGTGATGTTGAAATATATATATATATATATATATATATAAAATTTGAATAACTCAATTTTTAAAGATAGGTGTTAGGCAAGCACAGAGATGAGGGTTTGATCCCCGGTACTGCATGCCACGCTGGCCCTAGCCCCAGAGCACACTGAGCTGGCCACTCACTGAGTCCTGGCGTGGTGGTGCACATCTATAATCCCAGCACTGGGGGGGCTGAAAGTAGGAGGATCACCAGAATTCTGAGCTGGAGCTCCTCTATCAAATACATTTTTTTAAAAATTAAAGATATGAGGGGCCAGGGAGATGGTTCAATGGAATAAGCGCTTCCCTAGCAAGCACAAGGGCCTGAGTTCAATCCCCGGTTCCGCAAAAAAAAAAAAATAATAATAATAAATAAATAAATAAATAAATAAATTTTTTAAAAAATTAAAGATATGTATAGATTAAAAAGGACAAACACAATTTAGATTTTCGTTGTTCCTTTGTTTTGTTTTTTGAGACAAGGTCTCACTTTGTAGTTTAGGCCAGTCTTGAATTCTATGTAGCCCAGGCTGGCCTCAAACTTGTGGCCATCCTCTTTCCTCAGCCTCCTGGGTGCTGGGATGACAGGCCTGTGCCAAGTACCTGACTCTTTTCACTCATTCTTTCAAAAGTGAACAAACAGCATCTGCCACACAGCAGAAGTATAGTGCAGTACTCTGGGTGTGAAACTGTTGAGGGTACAATCCATGACTTAAGTTGTTCGCAACTTAAAGATGGAGGCAAGCATGTGTAGAACTAATTAGGATATGACATATGAACTCATAGCATGTAATTGAACGGATTATTACAGTAGGAGTACACTTACTACTTAAAAGAGAAAATGTAAAGATTCTAACAATCAGGACCAAAAAAAAAAAAAAAAAAGCTAAACATTGGGCTGGGGAGATAGCTCAGTAGAATAAGCACTCACTTGGCAAGTGCAAGGCCCTGAGTTTGATCCCTGGTTCCACCAAAAAAAAAAAAAAAAAAAAAATCTAACAATCAGGAAACAAAACCTAATCTTTGTTTTTGTTTTTGTTTGGCAGAACCAGGGATTGAACTCAGGTCCTTGTGTTTGCTAGGCAAGCACTAAAACCTAATCTTTGAAGTGTTCCAAAACTGACATATTTTGGCCTATATAATCAACAAAATTGAGGCCAATGAAACCCTGTCTCAAAAAACCAAAGCCAGGGCAGGGGAGATGGCTCAGTAGAATAAGCGTTTGTGCAAGGGCCTGAGTTCGATCCCAAGTTCAGCCAAGAATAAAGAATAAATAAATAAATAAATAAAAATAAAAACCAAAGCCAAGCAAACTTTTTTTTTTTTTTTTTTTTTTTTTTTTTTGTCAGAACTGGGGATTGAACTCAGGTCCTTGTGTTTGCCACGCAAGCACTTATTCTACTGAGCCATTTCCCCGGCCCAAACAAACAATATTGACACCATTATAAGGTTAAAAGAATACAAACCAGATTTTTATTTTTTTATTTTTTATTTTTTAATGTGTTTGAGATACGGTCTCGGGGGCCTGCCCATTAGCTCAGGTGTTCAAGTGCCTGCTGAAACAAAGCAGTCAGGCTCAGGATGCTGTGGTTCGATCCCCTCACCCTCAAGCCAAACTAGACCTGTCTGAAGGCAACCTGAGCACCCGACCCCCCCCCAAAAAAAAAGATATACGGTCTCGCTATGCAATTCAGACTGCCTTAAAAATGAGCTCACTTGGGATAAAGAGGGTACGGGCGAGACCGAAGGACAGCCATGGAGTCTAAATGCGAAAGTGAGCAAGGGTGTGAGAGGGTGAACCCCGAAAACAAGGCGGCCCTGGAGGCGTGGGTCAGGGAAACGGGCCTCCGCCTAGTGCAAGTGAACCGGCAGAGGAAGTACGGCGGGCCACCCCAAGGCTGAGTGGGCAGCCCGCCGCCGGCCGGCTCCGAGGTATGTAGGGCCGGCTGCCCCAGGACGTGCACGAGCACCCGCTGATCCCACTCTTGCAGCGCGTGGGCCGGCTCTACGAGCTTCGCTGGGTGATGACCTTCAGCGGCCTGAATCGCGGTTCAGCTCGCGGCGCGGTGCCCAGGTGGCCGTCACCATGCTACACAGCCACCCTCTGCGGCGGTCGTGCCTGCTGCTCGTCTGCCGCAGCACCCGGAAGCGCGAGCTGAGCTTGGACAGGCGGCCGCAGGGCGTGACCCACAACCTGCTGCTGCGGGCGTTGCAGCCACAGGGGCCCGGCCTACAGGGGGCGCAGCTGCTGCCCAGTCCCGGGCCGCAGTCTGTGCAGATAGCGCTGCTCAAGTTCAGCTTGCCCCGCGCTGCAGCCGTGGCCAAAAAGGCCCTAGAAGGTCAGTCACGCCTCTGTAGAGAACAGCTGGCTGTGGACTGGCTCAAGCCAGACCTAACGCAGCGGCTTCGCCAGCAGCTTGTGGGTCCCTCACTTCGGTGCCTACAGCCAGATGGCAGCCAACTGGTCCTGGCCAGGGGCAGACTGGGGTGCCAAGGTGCTAGGGCTGCCCTACAGCTGCTGTGCCAATAAATGAAGCTGGGCAGCCCAATATTCCTGACCAAATGTTTGGGCGCAGGCCCCACTGGCTGGCACTGCTTCTGGTACCAGGTAGTGATCCCTGGGCATCCAGTACCTTTCAGCGGCCTCGTCTGGGTCGTACTGATCACAGATGGGCAGGATGTGCATGAGGTGGCCAGCGATGCTGTATCTGCAGGGCCGCTGGAGGCGCTGAGTGAATCTGCAGGTGGGCTCTTACGGTTTTCAGGAGCTGAGGCAGATTCTATGGTTAAGCAGTGATTCCTGCCTCTCTCCACAGGCAGTCTGAACCGTAGGCAGGGCCTGTGTCAGGCTTCAGCCCAGCAGCCCTGGGCAGCAGCTAGCTGATCCTCAGATGGGGAGTGGGGCAGGGCCCAAGGAATACCTGAGGACTGCTCAGATCTGGCTTAAGTTCTGGTGAGGCA